AACATGCACTGATAGAACAACCAGGTGCGCTAAACTCAAAAAAAAAAAAAAAAAAAAAAAAGCGAAAAAAAGGTGCAAATCATTCATCCCGTGCTGACGCGACGGCCGACACACTGCACACCTACGCAACCGTCGAAGATTCAGGCGAATCCCTCTGGCCAATACGCTAACCACCGAAACTACAATTACACAATCGAACTCGATCAACCCGTGCTTATGCCACGGGTGCCACAATCAACCTGTGCACAATGATGGAGGATTCTGGCGAATCCCGGCGGCCGACACGCTAAACAGGTGCGCCATGCACGACAGCCCGTCACGTCTCTTCACACGTACATGCGCCTTCGTTCTTAGAAGCGCAGTCTCCCCACTCTACCCCCGCAAACCCACCCGCCTTATGCGTCGTCTTTTCCTTCGCCTTTGTTGTCATCATCGGGGGAACCCGAACCCAACCAATCCAGCCTCTTCTCATCCTCCGGCCCCTTGATGCTCGCATCGTGCGCAAATCCGATGCCGCATGGTGCCCAATCAGGGATGTAGTCGGGGTACACTCCGAGCGTGGCTTTCGCCTTCCCAAGCCTCTTCGTCGCGACGTTCGTGGCGCGGACAACGGATCGTCGATGATCGAAGGAGCGATGCATGGAGGCGACTAGTGTCGACCTGGCGACGAGATCCACGAAGTAAAATGCTTCGTAGTGATTGCGCGGATCGTCTCCCGCCATGAGCATTATCCACATGGATGCCGCCAGCAACAGCCTGAAGCAGTCAGCCACCCGACATAGACGGTCGTAGGAGATGAAATCGCCATCGATGTGAGCGCCCATTTGCACCGCCGCGCGGAATGAATGCGCGATGCTGATGACGGTGGACTCCTGGTGCGCCGCCATGTCGTTGTCTTCAGGTCTGTCCTCGATATTCGCGCCAGCGTACCACAGTGGAAGGTCCATGTTCAGATCTATCGTGTGGGCGCAGATCGCCGCGCTGACGACGTTGCACCACTCCTCGCCGTACCACATTGGACACGCAATGTCCGTCGCTATGGACTCCAACGAGTACTGGAAAGCAAGGTGGTACCCCCTTGGGCGGTTCCCAAACTTGAAAACCCAGCCGTGCAAGATGCACAGAGCTATATTCTCCACCGCCGCCGCACGAGAGATCGCTTGCTGGAGCTGTGATTTGTTAGCGATCGTCGCCACCCTCGTGCTGGATTTGGGGAGGACAATGCTCCGTGGAATGTCAGGTGGCGGAAGGCCGTTGGCGATGGCGACGAAGTACTCTTTGATTTCGTGGACGATGTTGTAAAGTCTGCGGCCTTCACCCGTCAACCAGAAAGCTTTGTCATCCACCCAAAGCAGGGCACGGTCGATAAGGTCTTTCGTCATGACTCCCCTGCGTGCCCGGCTTGAAGGGGCCTCGCCGCCATCCCATTGGTTTGTGTTCTGTCCACGACCCTCCTCTCTCACCATCGCCAGAACTGCAGCCTCCTCTCTCGCCGCCGGAACGGGAGGGACAACACCTGCAACACCCACACTAGCGCCACCTGCCGCCTCGCCCCCTGCTGCTCGTGCGTCTGCCACGACTCCCCCCCCCCCACCGCGTTGGACAGACGCACCGTCAGCACCGTCGTTGCGCTGACGTGGCTGAGACGGCGTGCTGGGCAGTGCACCTGTGATCGGCCTTTCGTCCGCCACAGCGCGAGCCGTCGACGTGGCTGAGACGGCGTGCTGGGCAGTGCGCTTGTGTTGCAGTGCGCAGGTGACGTCCAAAGGCTCGTCGTCATCGCTGCCAAGGTCCACCACAACACCCTTCTCTTTCCATGTTTCGCGGACACGCAGCTGCTTCGCCTCTGATGGAGGCGCCGGAGGGGTAAACATCCTCTTCGAAGCGCTCTGATCTGAAGAACGCTGCCTACCACTCTCCCGTACCGGAGACGCCGTCGACTCGCCTTGATTGTCCTCCGTCGTGAAATCGTCGTCGTTGTCCTCTTCCGCGGCTTGCGCCCAACCTTGCGCCCCACGACGCGGCACGCTTGCTGACGCATCATCCAAACGAAGCCTCTTCGCCTTTGGGACGTGCCGCCGACCTTTTCCCTGGGCTTGGCTTTCGTCAAGCGCGACGTCGCACTTCTTGCCACGGGCGTTCAATCGTGCAGACATGCTTGCTGGGGACCTCTAAAGGCGATCTCAGTGGAGCGCTCGGCTGACGTGTACTGTTTCGTCGATAAAGATGTCACCCGTCTCTTGCCAGCTTGGCGAGAACTACTACCCCGACGACGCTCAAGATGTGTCATCCGCTGCGGGAAGACGACGACGCGCAAGCGCACCACGGAAGGATGACGTTCTCGGCGACACCTCTCCTTCGCGGGAACCACGACGATGAGCAGACCAGAATAGCGATGGCGGGAGCGCTCCGCGGCGAGAAGAATGACGTCCGACGGCGACGACTGCAACAGAAGAACAAGCATGAACCTGGAAGCGCGCCGCGGCGAGAAGATTGACTGCAAGAAGAGCGGAAGCGATGACGGTGAGAGCGGCCCGCTGACTGTGTTGTGACGACTGACGTCCACGTCACGAGATGTCTGCAATGGTGACGGCGGTGGTCGTCGAAGACTGTGGACATGGAAGCGTGGAGGAGGCCACAATTATCCCCGGCGAGAGGCGTTGTTGTACTGCAGATGCGCGGCGGGAAGTGTGCAGCTGGCGCGGCGGGCGTGTGTGGTGGACTCACCCTCGTGCGGACGACATTTATGCAACTCCGGATGCGCACCCCTGGAATGGCAGTAGTAGATGGACCGTCCACGACGTCGCGTCCTCGTGGCGGGAAAATGGAACGACGACGGCGACACATGCGACTGCCATGCCTGTCCTGGCGTGTCATTATGAAGCTGCCGAAGCCGCGAAAAAGCCCTTCCACGTTCGCTCGACGCGCGTGAATGCACTCCCGAAGGACCAAAACAAAGATGGCCCGCCTTCACCCGCAGGCACCCCATCGCGCGTACCCCTCGCAGCCAACGACCCCTCCATAACCCCCATACCAGCGATCTCCAACAGGGCGTGGCACATCATCCTCTGCGTCTCATCGAACGCCGCATAGTGCGCTTTTTGGACGGCAACTTCCTGCTCTAATATGTCGCATTGCCTCGTGAAGATGCTGCATTGCTGCTTGCTAGTCGATTCGATCGTCGACGACATCAGTGCGCCATGGTGGTCCATGACATCAGAGATGGACTCCAATGCCTGCAGACGCGCGTTCTTCCGCTTCCCGCCTCCCGCCCCGCTGCCTACGTTGTTGTCGGACTCCCTAGCAGAAGAACGCTCTTGAGGGCAACCTTCATCTGCCGCCTCACTACAAACAGACTCCCTGCCACCGCTCCTCGCCTGGGCAGCTGCACCCCCTCCGGACTGCCGGTGTCGGCAACGTTGAGAGGGAAAATCGTGTGGTTCCCCACCATGCCTGCGTGGATCTCGTTGTACAGCGCCCTATCCATCCGAAACTTGAAGTTGTACTCCTTCCTCTCTTCGTTCGTCAGCCTGAAAAAATCTGCCCGGCCGCTGGCATTCTGAAACCTCTGAATTTTCTTGTAGTTCTGGAACAGATTGTCCCATTTCTTCATGCAGTCGTCAGCGTCCTTCGGCCTCCCCGCATTCGCCATCCACTTCGACATGTTGTCCCACTTCCACTCTTTCGTCTTCATCCGCCCGTAATTGTGAGACAAGCCGGCGAGGTGCATATCTTGCTCCGGCTTGCATCGCACTAGGAGCATTTGGTCTTCTGCAGACCAGTACGTCGAAGACTTCCCGGCGTCGTCGCTCACGCCACCTCTGCTTCCACGGGCAACGGATCGACCACGGACACCACCTCTGCCGCGTCCTTTCCCCCTCCCACCCGTCTTCCCCAAAGGCCGAATAGGAACGTCGTCGTCGTCGTCCCCCGCTTCCACGTCTTCCCTCACCCCTTCGTCTGCATCGTCACCGAATCCACCGTCGTCTTCGCCGCCATCGCTGTGCGCTCGCATGTTGGACACTCCACGTGTTATGTTCTCCACAGCGGGTCGTGGACGTACCGGCGCTCTGCACGTTCCCTCTTCCCTCACTTTGGATTCGATCGGTGTTGTGCACGCAGGCATCGACGAACGTGCACCGCCCATGCGCAGGGGCCCTGCTGCGACCCCAGTAGGTGCGGGCCAGGTCGGTGTCAATCGATCGACGGACGGAGCAGTCGATCCATGCTGCCGTCCCGCTGGCGATGGCCCGACCGCGCCAGTCACAGGTGCAGCGCGACAAAGTGTGGACTGCTCCGTATGCAGACTTCCACCATGTTCAAGGCCATGTGTCGAACGATCTTCGTCGATGATGAACGTACGGCTCGCCTCCCTGTCGTCGCCAGAACATAACCCGAACCTCAGATCAACTCCTCCGCCGTCGTCATCCCGCAAGCCTTCATGCAGCAATGACGTGAACTCGCCCCCTTCGTCTGGAGCGGACCCGCCTGCTCGCACCGTCTGCGACCACAACTGAGTTGAGCCGCTGGCTAGAGGCAACGTTGAAAGTTCTTCCTTCTCCGGCTCCTCGTCCGACGGGGGCAATGGCATCTCCCACGACTCCAAATGGGTGTACATGGACAGGTCGTACCGCCTTCGAGGCTCCGCCGCCGAAGTTCGAACTCCTCCCTGACCTGCAGCAGTAGCCGCTCGTGCCTGCATGCCCGCCATTAGACGTTCCCCTGCCCCCCGTCTCGTCCAAGCCCTCCTCTTGTGTTGTTGTTTCCACGGCCGTCACGACAAACACACGTGGAGGAAGACGACAATCAGGAAGACGACGACAACGAGTACCAGCAGAGGCAATCTCCCTTGCCTGTCAGCCATGAAATTCACCTCTGCAGCCACCCTTGCACGTGACCATTGCAGATGTGTGTTCCAATATGCCTTGGACAGGGGCGCTCGACCTTCATATGCCGACAACCAGCACAGAAGACGACAAACATGCCCGCCTTCCTTTTGAAAATGGACCGTTGCAGCCCGCGCTGCCCGAAGCGACTCCATTTGTCGTCCTGCGCACGTCGGCGTCCCACTCCGCATCTCGCAAGCGACCCAACGGTCCAGTACGGGCAACCACCCGCCCACGCTCGGCCCTCCGCGCTCCACCCCGTCGGCCAACGGCTACCGTTCCCGGCCGTTGCCGCCGTCGACCCGCGCAAAACCTCCGATGTCCGACCACGGACCCAACGGACCACTCCTGGACCAGCAACCCCGTGTGGACAGTGCCATGCACGCGACGCGAAGAGTGCGTGAAACGCGGGAATCCTAAATTTTTCAGTAGGTCGGGGGCTACTGAAAAATTTAGGACGATTTTGCCTGGGGAATCCTAAATCTTTTAGGACTCGTCCTAACGCCGTTTTCACATTTTCGATCTCCGATTTCATTTTAGGACTGTGTGCAACGAAGACGCAATCCTAAAAACTGGCACTTTTAGGAGTGTCTAACGAAACCCTTAGTGTACACCGGGAATTCCGGTCATCTGGAATTGGTAGTTTTTTACTTCGTGTGTGTTGGATGTTGTACGTGGGTTGACTGCAGGTGGGAATAGAGATTGCTTTCGTAGCAGGGCTTGGTGTGTGTTGGGTGTTGTATGTGGGTTGGCTGTACCTCCCAGCAAACGTTCTGATGCAGTAGTGCGCCACTTTCCCCTGATGATGGCCACAGAGGCATAGTGGCCGAAACTAGTTGGGATTTTTTTGCCGACCCCACTCCTTGTATTTTTCCGACACATTTTTTTTGGAAGTGGGATGGGATTCTTCGTTGCACCACCTGCAAGTCGATCTTCTTCTTTCTTCTTTCTTTCTCTCTCTCTCTCTCTCTCTCTCTCTCTCTCTCTCTCTCTCTCTCTCCCCCCCCCCCAAATTATGTTCGTTACTTCGCTGATTCGGGTTTCGATACCTCACCCGCACATTTTGAGCACTCGCTCTATTGTCGCGAACATGCGTTCAAAGTCCTCCCAGCAAACGTTCTGATGCAGTAGTGCGTTTGTTTTTTTTTTGTTTTTTTTTTTTGTTTTTGCCGAATGGTCTACAGGGAAGTTGACGAAACACACACAGCCCCACAAACACACAGCTGCACAAACACGCACACACACACACACACACGCACAGCCGCACAAACAGGCACACACACGCACACACGCTTACACGCACACACACGCACACACGCACACACAC